CTCATTGTATATGTACAAATACAACAATATTACATTTAATACACATTTTATAACTAAGGATAACATGGGGGAATATTTTAAATTTTATTCAATAAAAGGTTATTTGGTGCTGTGTTAAATTAACGGTTTAAAGAGAGTTAAATCCTACTTATAGAATGTATTCATTAATTAATTGTGGTGTATTATTAATTTTAACGTTCATAAACGTTTTAGTGAAATGTAAACATTTTTTTAAAGATATATTTTCTATTTATATTTACGTATTATTGATGCCAAATATTATAATCTTCACAGTTATGATCAGACAATCAATAATAATGCTGAATTATCCATCCATGCTTCTTAGTTTATCTAGTGTATCTTCTTAGCCTCAAAGGTGACCTGTTATGGGGACCGACACGTCGGGATAGACAGTTTTATACTGTAGTTTTTTTTAAATTTTGATAGTTTTAATCGTCAGGACCATTTTCTCCTTTATAATTTATACCAAGATATCATTGTCAAAACATTATCAGAAGGAGCGAGGAATCAATTTTAAGTTAACTTTATTAAATTAAATTTCAAATCATATATGCCTTAGTAGGGAAAAATGTATGTATATATATATATATATATATATATATATATATATATATATATATATATATATATATATTCATGAGAAACATGATTTTATTAAAAAACAAAACTTAGTCTAGCCACTTGAAAGTCACCTCAAAACGGTTTAAAAAAACAACAAAACTCTAATCGCACACAAAGAAGAATTAGAGTCGTTTTCAATAAAGCAATTCTTATTTTTAGAAATCAAATATTTTTTTAGAAATCATTTCATATTCAATAAAATACACGACTTACTAAAAAAAAAAAAAAATCAAAACTATAATTTTCCACTTTTATTCAGAAAATCAGACCATGTCTAATACTAAGTTTTTATTGTAGCTCTTGAGAATCACTATTTTCTTATCAACATTGATAAGTAAATATCTCTAAAACCCAGTCTTACTCCATTAAAAAATTAAATACTGATTGCCTACTGTGGATTGATATAACTTGAAGTTCAGGCATCATCCTCTTAGATGTACAAGATAGAAATCTACTCATATTTGTACTCTCTATAAGGCATATAAACCTTATTAATTAATTATGAGTTCAAAACAAGTACAGTATTTATTATTGGTACATTTACCTTATTCGTTATTCGTTATATTATATATCAGTAGCTGCTGATTGATCCTCAGGAAGCAACATTGTCCACCGAACCAGGGATCAATAGGGGCTCCTACCAGTGGCCCAATTGAAAAATATTTGTCTAAGGGAGCGTCCTCCAGCCACTAACTGACTCCTGGATAAACATCTCCAGGGTGGGGTATTTTCCATCTCCATTGAGTAAGTCACCAATTTGTCACCTGACCCTCCCCCGGCCATCCACTGGAAGGGAGCCTGCTGCATTTGCCGATTGAATTTTTAATTAAAGCCATCTGATTAGCGAGCTAAGTGAATAAGACACGGAGTGTTGGATTACATTGTCGAGGGAGGAGGAGATGGCGAAATTAATTAATCAGTCAATTAATTACTTTATACCGGTGAAGCTAGGACTACTTTATATCTCCCTGTAACATGATCTTGTAAAATTGTTCAATTGGATTTCATGCTATAGTTGTTGACGATATATGAAATTTATAAAACAAATATAAGGCATATTAACTATCCAAAATATTTTAATTCAATTATTGCAAATAGAGAGAGGGTGGAGAGAGAGAGAAAGAGAGAGCGAGAGGATGAATTTGTCAAACGAAACAGTAGGGTAAGGAGGAGGATAGAAGTCAGAAGGACGAGGTCGGGTGGGACGGGATAGGATTGAAGATTTAAATTGCAGACCCTTACTAGAGCCACTTTAGGTAGACATACTACTAGGTAATACACATGTCTCATGCTACCCTGAAAACAAACTAAACAATTCATAAGCCTTGCTTCAAGCTCACCAGAAAGATTCACTGTGCACCTGACAGCCGTAATCAAATAAGGGGTACATACACAAGGGATGAGTTTAGGATTCGAAGGGTTTTATGAGAGAGGAGATGACGTAGGTAAGTTGTTTAAGGGTTGATATGGTACTACGGGAAAGTAGGAGGTTTGCTGTTTCCATGAAAGGGTTTGGTCAATGGTGACTCAAAGGTTTTTTACTGAGATATGGAATGAGGCAGCAATTTATCAACCTGATAGCTAAAATGAATTAATAATAATGATAAAATTAAAAAAAAGGTAAATATATGTTCAAAGATAAAAGAAGGAGGAATTAAAAAAAAAAGTTCATTAGAGTTAATTGATACTTAGAGTAGAAAAGTGAGTAGCCAGGGATGATTTATTATTATTTTTTGTTTGTTACAAAACCGCTTCTTTTGTTTGATTGGCTTCTTATTAATTTTATAAGTGAAACAAATTACCAAAGATAGGTTTCTATGTAATATAGGAATTGGTGTTGACCTCTTATCCATAAAAAGAGGCATATAACTTCTTTTTTTTTTTATAGGTTTTAATAATCCGTGTTAGAGACCCTTTTTTTTTTTTATCAAATTATTAACATCTGCATACAACTTTATGAATGGCTTGATCCACTCGAAGATCCAGGATCTAATTTTGAGGAGGGGGCTTCAGCCCGAAAGATTTTTTTCATATACATACAACAATAATTAATTAGAAAAAAAAAAGAAAGAAATTAACTACCTATATGAAATGGTGTTTAAGTGGTTCTTGAAGTCCTATTAAATGTAACTACACCAACAAGAAGAAATAGTTTTTTCTGTAAAACATGGTTATATTTTACCATTTTGGGGGAGGGGGAGGGCTTCAGGCTGAGAAAGCCCCCTGTGGCTTCATCTTATCGTAACATACAAATTTTAGCTACGAAAATTCTCAGAAATGGAAAATTTTCTCATTTAATTAATTAATTACAATTACCTATTGCAAAGCATTTTTTTTTCTTGCTTCTCTGCGATATTAAATGTATTCTAATAAATATAATTTTATAAAAACGAATTTTATTTATTAAAATAAAACTAATAAAAACGAAGATTTTTCACGTATAGTGGTTCTAAAATTATGGTTTTCCTTACTAAAATTTAAGTTTAAAATAAGGAAACCTACAGATTGCTTTGCATTTTCATGAAAATGTAAACATTAGGGCTAGAAAAATTAAGTTTGTCACTTATAAATACGCATCCTATGACAGAAATCAGGTAGAAAAACAAAATTTCATAACGACTTTACATGAAAAATGTTTGTAAAATCATTTTCAATAATTTTATTATTATAAATAAAATGTGTTTCTAGGAAATTATTTTTATTAGAATATATCCTAAATCACAGGGAAACAATAAATAATAGCTTTACAACAGTTAATTATAGCCATTTTTGCTGAAAACACGGGTTCTTCTAGAGGATACGATAGAAAATCACTTCTTATCTTCTTTACACAAGTTGAGGTAAATCTCAAAATTTTTCGTAATAAGCCTCAAACTTAATTAATATGACTTAAGGCTTATTAAATGGAGAAGGTTTTCTAAAAGTGGGGTAACTGCAGTACAGTTGAAGGGTGACAAAAAAAAATCAAAAATAATTTATGACTTCTTTTTACTTTCCTACCTACACTAGGTAAGAAATCCAATTTTTTAACTTCTCTTGCATAGGACATCATGCAATAAGTACCCCTTAATCGGGGTACGTTTGTCCAAGGGAGATTGCTTAGTTAAATTTAATATATAAAAGACATATCGACTAAAATAAAAATAATAGGGTGTATAAAAAAATGACCAAGGACAATAAATATTTTAATCATATTTAATACTTAATAATCCGTTTAGAGCATTCTCTAAACTTGTTTAATTCCATTAGATTTCTTTAAAAAAAAAACCTCAGTTAAGGTATTCGTTTCAAAGAACATGGCACTGTTCTGCGAAAAGCTCGCAATTTTATGGCATAAAAAAAATTCACAGCCACTGAAGCAACTCGTGAAATTATTAAATATGAAGGGGGAGGTGTCCTTGATCAGCTCACTGCGCGGCGTTGGTTTGAAAAAGGGCTACCATTAATGGATACTTATGAGGTTCTGCAGGAAGCTGTTGAACTTACATAGGAGTGTGCTGTGTCTAAAGATTCTGTTAGTCGCCATCTACTCTCAATGGGTGAGGTGAAAAAGACCAATAGACTGGTCGAACTTACTCCTCAGCAATCAGCTAAGAGGTTAGAAATCTGTGGAAATTGGTTGAAAAATCCTTTTGATACGAGACTCCTGCCTAATCTATCATGTATTGCAGACCTCGTACCATCGGATTGTTTAGATCCATGGCCCATTTTTTCAAGGAAAAGAATTTGCTAATTTTGCGGAAGATTAAATTGCGGTTCTTGGACAGCAGAAGTCCAAGAGTTCTTTGACAGCCATCCTAAAGAATGGTATGAACGTGAGATCCAGCAATTGGCTAATAGATGGCTAATGATGGTAGATAACAATAGACTATACTTTGAGTATTAATTTTATATTTTACATGAGAAATAATGATACAAATATTTGGTTGAACCCGTCATTTTTTTTATACACCCTATGTACATACTTTTTTTTTTTTTTTGGTAGGATGAACTATTAACTAATAAATGGCTGACTCTGAACAAGGGGTTATAAGTGAAAATAACAGGTACATGATTGGTATTTAGGTATATTTAAAGAATCTCTATATGTTGAAATATGTAATGTTTTAAATATGATTGTAAATTGTAAAAAATTTTTAGACTTGATAATGGCTCAAAGAGCGTAATTAGATTTGTTGTCATTAAGTTGACAAAATTTTAAAAATTGGTGTAAAATTATCTGTTTTAACAATTAATTGAATCCAAATATATAACAAAACTAAATAAGTAATTAAAAGTATTCTATACAAAAAAAAAAAAAAAAAAATCTACTCGGGAATGTATAAGGCGAATGAAAATATATCATACCAACACGAATATCAGAGTAAAGGTGAGAGCTTATTTGTGAAATAGCAGGAAGAGAAACCTAATTGTGTTTCTGGAAAAGGCTGTTGGAAATCTCCTTGATCCAATTCCGTGGAAATGAATTTCCTTTGTTCTTTCTTCAAAAACATATTTTTCTTTTAATTTTATTTCAAAATACAAATGTTTGAAATGAATAATGAAATAAAAGGTACTTCTAATTTTCTTTGAAATATTATCCAATAAACTTAAAAATGAATTCTTTCTTTGATTAAAATTACCATTATTTCACTTGATAAACCAATTTTCAGCATGAATTATTCAATTATGTTGTTATAAATATATGTATATACTATTTATATATATTGATGAACATTGTAATAAGTTCAAAATTTTAGCTCTCAGATAGGCTTCGGATAATTATTCCAATCTAAAAACAAACAGAAAAAAAAACACATTAATCCTGAGTTCTTGAATAAGACTCAAGAGTAAGGGGTACACAATGGGTGGGACAAAGAACTTAAAAACATTTCTCATTGTCCAGAACTTTCATACTTTGAATAGCCCCACCATCTCCCACTTATTTCTCTCAGTCTTTGTCATTTAAATTGTTTTGATTAAATTATTATATTCTTAGAAGTTTTTTATCTTCAAGACAATAAAGAGAGAAAATTGTATATATGTAAATAGGTGATCATATTATGGCTTTAAATATTCTTTGATAACTGCACAGGAAGCGGTCGGAAGTTGACGACACAGTATATATTAACCAGTTTAACGACGAACTATATTTCAAACTACTAAGCGATATGAATTAAACTTTTATATTAGTTGAAGAGAAGTTGATTGAGTGGGAGGAGGAGGGTCAGTAAAAAATACAAAGTAAAAATAAATAAATATTTATTTTTATTTTGGCGACGTTTAAGCCCAAAGTTCAAGCCTTCATCACTACTAAAAAAAGACCAGATAAAAATAGGTATGAGAAACTATTAACATTAAAAAGAAACTAATAACATGAAATAATAATACAACAGTAACAGAGAGGTGCTTATGTAATAAATAATTACTACAAACAAAGTTGGGGACTAATGAAATAAACATGAGGAAATTAATTAACAAAATGAATGAAAAAAATAATTAGTAAAGACATGTAATGGAATATTGTGAGATAAAAACGTAATTATAGTTGCTAAAATATGATATCTTAGAATGCTAAAAAGAAGTGAGATTGACATAGAATAAACTGTAACATTTTCTGTGGACAGCTAAATTTTCTAGCATCAAACGCATAGAATCCATTCAGTCCAAAGTCCTCCGAACAATAGTTGATGCTCCGTTCTATGTAACCAACAAAACCCTACATCATGGGCTTAATATTTCATTTGTCCTACAACTTATGCCTGAAAAAATTTCCGAATTCCGTAAGAACCTTCCAAATCAGCTTGCACAATCCCTATCTGGTTCCACTCATCCCTATAATCCTCCTGGAAGGTTGAAGCGGCAGTGGCCCAGAGATCATTTGTAGTACATATCCTGGGGTTCCGGCAATGGCCAAATTCTCCTCTCAAGACATAAGTGTATGTGGCTAAAGCGATCTCGCTCAATCTCTACTGGCTTTAGCACCAGTGACGCTTATCTTTAATTTACTTAATTTAATTTACTTATTATATTTTTAATTTACTTATCTTTAGGTTATTTTATTTTTTATTGAACATAGTTGTTATACTATAATTATTGTCCACTTAACAGATTATTATATTTCTAAATAAATGAAAAAAATACTTTATACCAAGAATAAAGAATATAGTTAAATATAAATATATTTTTCTTAATCTGATTATTTATTACATCTTCGAATTAATCGCGAATTTAATAAATTTCTTTATAGATAACTTTATTATTTTTTTTTTACCGTAAATAACCATTTTTTAAATAATTTCTTTATAATTTAAACAGTCATCAATTCAGTTTCTTGGTTTTAAATATCGTCTTAACTTACCACATCTGGCTCATATTTATCACAACAGCCTCCTCCCAAATGTACATATGTTAACAAAAAAATATATACCAACAGTTAATTAATTAAAGAATGGTCTTCGGTAAATAATTAAGAGGCAGAAACCGCACCCCAACCACACCCCAAGCCTGGACCCAGCAAGGATCAGATTTCTGACCCGGACGCGAGCCGCAATGCGGGGTTTCTAGGTCTCATGTGGCCTTCCAATGGTCGCTGGAGAACTGGACAAAAAATATCCAGAAAAAACTTTCAACAACCGAAATAAATAAATTATAATTTAACTGTTAAATTAACCGAAATAATCAGTCAACTAGGCCCACCTTTGCCAACAGAGATAACAAAATAAATAAGAATAATTTTACAATTAAAACTTGATGAATTAGGAATTCTTCATTTTTTTTTTCATAAGAATTTGTATCATATTTTATTATTTTTTATTTAAATATATAGATTAGAATATAATAGAAAAATCAACTATTTCTGGGAAAAAGTCTTATAAGAATATCAATATTGTACAGAAAAATAAATATTAATTCGGGTCATAAGAACTATTAAAATTAATGAATAACAAAAAAAAAGTGTAATAAATATAAGTATTTATATACTTAAAAAGAGTATATTAAGAATACTGATGACAAATATTGTATCAATATATTGTAAGTTTATTGAAAGTGACAATACATGACATTATCATTTTTTATTTTTTATTTTTAACATTTTATCGAGAAATATTACAATATGTCTCAGTTAAGTACACTTATAATAGAGTTGAGAGAGTACATTCATACCGTATATACAGAAACATAAATAAATAAAGTAATAACAAAAGAATAAAAGAACAAAAGAAAAAAATATATATACACACATAAGTAAGTAAAAATAGAAATACAAGTAAAACAAATATCTTAGGTTATCAATTATAGCTTTGATCAATTTTCTATTTATAAAATCAGAACACTGTTTGCTTGATTAACTATATTTGATAGATAAAAGCATGGTTTAAAATTGTTAATTATCTTTTCCCATATAATCCAGTAATAATTATTATGTAATACTTGATTTTTAATTTTAAAATGATGCCTAATTTATAAATGAAAATTTATAAATTGATCAGAAAAAAAAATGTTTATCAGAAAATAAATACCACCTTTTACAAACAAATAAAATAAAATATTAACATGCGTGTATACGTTATTATACATGTTACAAATAGTCAAAATTTCTAATGAATTTTGGAAATAAAGATGTTCCGTTACTTTTTGTAACAGTTTAAACAATTTTGTTTAAAAATAATGATCAGGATATGATTTTTACCGAATAAATTTTGATTGGATTTGGTTTTGATTTATATTTTTTAATTATTGATTCCGAACCCTGGATTAAAGTATTTGCGTCATTTTATCTCACTTATTTCTTTTTTTTATTTCGATAAATTATGTTGAAATTCACATAAAGTTTCTTAATAGTTCAACGCCATCGAGAATGTCGTTAGTCAGTTTTTGCAATAAAACGGAAACTTGAAATAAATTAATAGCAAAAACTAAGTAATAAATATGAGTATGTACATAGTTATCAAAGATATTTTAATGATATAGAAGAGCTACTTATATCGATTAAATTATAACGCCGAAAATTATTTTACATTAAATTATAATATAGTTGAATTCTATAGTGTAACAATATATTGTTGGTTAATTGAAAAAAGTAATGAAGTGACAATTCATTGACTAAAATCAATAAGAACTTTGATTAATTATCTATTTATGAAATCGGAAAATTGTAGGCCTCTTGTTGATCTATCAAATAAGGTGATAGATGGGTTTGTGTCATTTCAATGTAAGAATGCTAACTTGATTTCAGGTCACGAAAAATCTTGAAGCAATTTTAGACAGGTTTGATTTTATTTTTTTATTTAAAATTTTAAAACTAATCAGGACTCATAATTGGATATAAAACGTAATATATTTAAACAAAATTAATAAATAATAGGTATTTTTTTTATTTTATTAAAAAACAGTAAATTTTACCACACTTAAGCGCACTAAGTGTTCGAGCAATCTGAGACGCACTAGTAATAATTATTAAATAAGAAGTATATATATTAATTTGGTAGGAACAACTCTTCACATCATATTTCAAATTTCTTTAAAAATTAAAAATTTATAACTTAAAATATGTGTCTTTCACTTGACATAATGATTAACTAAATTGAGTAAAGTTATTTTAGTAATATTTCTTGCAAGAAAATTAATAATATCTGTATAGACAGTGTGTAAGTTGATTGCAGAGTTGAAATATAGAACTGTGAATAAAGGTATGAACTTTTCTGCTAGAAATGTCACTTTTTTTTTCTTTTTTTTTTCAATTATTTATTTAGAAATATTACAACCAGTCAAATGTATGGACAAAACTAATAGTAATAGAACAGTAGCTCAATCATACTCTATGTACAAACAATAACAATAAATAATCAGAAAAATAATAATACTAAAAGTAAATGTATATAAACTAAATTGCTAAAATTATTAATAATGAATGTTGAAATCGGAGTTAATCATTCTGTCAACTGAGAGCCTTATATTATTTAAACATCCTTTCCAAATACATTTTTTTTATTGTTATTATTTTTTTAAAATAAAATATGTTTTATGGATAATTCTCATTCTTATTTTTTAATTTTTTTTCAGAGATAAAAATAAAATTGCGAAACTTCATGGTTATGAATGCTACACAAATATATTAGTTAAGAGTTTTTAATTTAATAGTGATCGTTGAAAAAAAATATTAATGAGGTATTGTTAAAAGTTTTTTATATTAATAATATTTGTTATAGTGTTACAGATATGTATTTTTCGACTTGATAATGGCCAAACACAACCAAAAAGGTTGTCAGTCAGATGTTTACATGAATGAGAATGTAATAAATTAATAGGGAATAAAAGTGTTTGAAATAGTCCTCATTAAATTTAATATTATTTAAAATTAAAATACTCTTTTAGAATATAATATTAATAAGTTCTGATATATTAATAAAAATAGATGTATTAATATTAATAAAAGAAAGTCACCGTAGAGAATTATTAATGATTTTTCCATGGTGTGAACTAAATTCCATTATCAGTAGTACTTAATTGTGATAGGTTTTAATTAATTAAGAAGAACGTAAGAAACGTTTCATCTCCTGAAGAATAATCTTGTTAAATATTTTGAATAGTTTTTATTCTCAGTTAACTTACTTTGTATTTATATATTGTTTAATATTCATTTTCAATAAAGCAGTTATTCTTTTATGACATA